TTGTTGTTTTTTTTTTTGCCTTTCCTTTTTCTCCTTTTCTTATCTTTTTTGCTGCAGTGATTGACCGTCTACTGGGCTTGCTTCCAGTTCAAAAAAGTCCGAGAGAGCATCATTGAGACTGGCACTTTTTACCCTGGAGTAGCCACGTGTAGTAGCAGGAAATTTTGCTCTGAGTTGTTCACTCAAATTTTGAGCATCTTCGTGCATATTTCAGGCTCCATTAACCCAATCACTCTGATCTGGGTATCATTGGAAAGATCTTTTCCTCCTGCAGAAGTTGAGTATAGATGATGCCAATTTTGGTCAAAGCTGATGATGTCAGAAGTGGAACAAAGGCCAAGGCTCATCACAGGCAGCATGGGAGTCAATGGGTTAACACAGCTTTTACAAAGACTATTGTGTGAAGAACTTGTTGATGTGTTCTCAGAACATCTGTGATTTAGTAACCAGGTACTACATCAAACAATGAAAAACTAGTTTCCAGGCTCCTTGATAAAAGATGGATGGAAGACCAAAAATTTGTCACAAACAAAATGGAGTGTTTTCATCCCAGATTTAGTAGAAAAACTACTTCAAAATAATCAATCTCTTCAGACATTTTTCCTGTGGGGATGGTAGGCAGCTGCTTTATCACTAATATGAAATACTTTTTCAGTTCTATGTGGAAAAAGGCCCTGGTTATGCAAGGATGTTGATGTTAGTGAATTATGCGGATCCGTACCACCGCAGCCTGTCAGATGGCCTGGTTCAAGATCATGACTGCATTAAGTTTCTTACAGTGTTCCAGCAATACTGCTTTCACTGACAAATAGCATTACTTTGTAATTATTGTGTCACCTGATAAATGGAAACATTAACTAGTACAAACCTTCTTCTCCAAAAGTGCAAGCCTTTTAAGAGCCTCTTTCTCTCCACCAACCCAATCCTCCTGTTCATGCTCTTCCTCATCCAACTCGAGGGCATCGTACTGCGGTACTCCATAAATCTGATCATGATTATCTTTAACAGGAGTCTTACAATTTTCAAACATATCCTGGTCAACATCAGGGGCACAGCTGGCTGGAGTGCCAAGCTTGTTTATGAGGCACTCAAATTGTTTAAATGTAACTGGGACATTTCCATGATTCAACTCAATAACCCTATAATGAGAAGTAAAGATTTGAGTCATTTATTTTTAAGAAAGCCCCAAGTAAGATTTAACAAAGGCTCTCCTAAAGACAGCTTATGATATTTGAAACAGACAAGCCCATATCATACATATGACAAGGGGGATAAAAAAGATCTAGATGAAACCCAAGCAGACATTTTGTTCACAATGGTTAAGCAAATGTTGCCCCTCTCGAGAAATACCCTGATCAGCAGAATTACCAACCAAAAAAGGTAATGAACCATTGAGTGACTGACTGACCAGGCTGGTGAATTGTATCTTCCCCAACTAACTGCTAAAACTCCCTCTTCAAGTTTCCACAGTTTATTTCTTAAAGAGAAACTAAATAAATGTTGCAAAAGTTCTATCAAGTAATAAGTGAAAAAGAAACAGATGAATTGAACCACAATTGTCTTTATTTAACACCATGCTGTCCAGCCCATGCTTTACAAACTGCATGTAGCTGCAGATAAACAATCTGTTTCGGAATAGTTGTAAACCTGTCAACCCTCACGTTATGTTTTTTTGACAATAAATAGCTTGCTGAGACTAATTAATTTTCAGCAATAGACTCTGGAACTGTACAAACAGCAAAAGATCAATGCTTGGCAGTTATTCATTAGACAAATATTTTCAATTTGATGAGTAAGTAACCAACCCATGTCAGTGCAGTGTTGCCAATTATAGTTTTCAGCCAATCACAGCACAGCATATATTGCCGACAGTCTCTCATGAACAGTTTGAACAGAGGTAAGGCTTATTTAACCAGTGTTTTAAATTCATTCCTCCCAGGTTGTGGATAGTGGCTAATCAAGTGATTCTGTGGTTGCAAGCAGAGGTTCGCTCTTGCCTTTCATGATCAGCAGGCAGAAAGAAAAGGGAATCTCTGTCTCGCAGAATATGAAGGTTGCAATAAGTTACTTGACCTAAACATCTTTATTACAAAGAGCAGTCCCTCTTTTTTTAAGTGGAAAGAGCAATTGATGAAAGGAGCAGCATTTTCTAGAATTTCTTAAAAAAGAGGACAACTTCGCAAAGTTAACGCAAATATCCAAAGAGTTCTCATAGTCGAGTTTTTCTCTCTGATTTTACGCACGGAATGTCTGGAATTTTTTGGTTGAATGGTTCGTATTTCAGAAATTCAACAATTCCTTGACTTTATGAAAGAGTTTCCTAGGAAATTCCCCTTACATTAGCCCCACTCCAAAAGTTCTTTAAGTTTGAGTCGAGCTAAAAGCCCTCCAAAAAACCACTTCTCACGTTTACGGAAAGTCGGATCCTAGTAAGCTTATACCGTTCCGATGACGGTTCAACAATGACCGGAAACCGAATATTTTTAATACTACCGCCATCTCATTCGGTTAGCTAGCTCATTTTGGGAAATCTCTTAATTTTATTGAGGTCATCCTAACCAGTTCCTTCGGACAAATAGTAAGTAACCTCATACTAAGCCTATGTCGAACCAATAACTCAAGGCCTGACCATGAGAAGTTAAGCTTGTGTAAGGTGTATGCAACCGCCGGAACAACAGACAACTAAAATTACCCGAGCACTGCCATCATTAAATTAATAAAAAACACTAGCCATCAAGGTGAAAAATATGCTTCAAAAATCAAATTAGGCTGAATGTAAGACTATAAGCAGAAACGGTTTAGACAAAAAGATTTTAAGCTTAACTACCCACTTACTCGTCAATGTCGTAAAGAGTGTGCGATGAGGATACCAGAACTTCAACTCCTTGTGATTCAAGCAAACGTTTCACCGAGTCGTCTCGTCTTTGAGGGAAAGGTTCACCGTCGTATTCATATGTTACCCTTGTAATATCCCACTGCTTAATTAATTTCGGAAAGACATCAATCGGTTGTCCCCGCACGATGAATAGACGGGAGTTGAATCTTCGCAGACTACTGTCCAAGTCAAGTAAGCAATCCAAAAGAAATCGCCACTTGTTTCTCGATATATTTATCTCGTTTAAAGAGTCAACGTCGAGAAAAAACACTGCTCTAAAAGTAGAACTTCCATGTATTGCCTGGCGAAGCGACGGATTGTCGTGCAACCTAAGGCCCTTCCTGAACCAGTGAAGTGAGTTCACGTTTGCATCCATGTTTTCTACCTCAGACTGAAAGGAAGCTGTAACATGCTAAGTCACAAAGTTAGTCGCATCCAAAGTAATACCCGTAGTATACGATCACGGCCATGACCTCGATTTACGTTCCACACCAAACTAGAACCTCAGAACCATAGCACTTGCTTTAGGGTACGACAAGCGGAGTCGCGTTTCTTGTTGAATAACATCTATCTGTATGGCCGGACACGTGAAATCCCAGACGGTTCTTTCCAACACAGTCTGTGATTGGTCATCAGCGTTTATTCAATAGATAACCATTTCTGATTGGATAAACATCCTCAACCGTGTGGAACGTGTACTCGACTGTACTCGTGAGCTCACACACGAGTCATGAACCTAAACCTGGTGCTACCCGGCGGTGGGGAGCGGGGGGTACTCCCTTATAAAGGCTACATAGGTATGTGCGGCCCCAAAGGGGATGGTTTTTCAGTCATTTTGCTCATAAATTGGGTATTTGGTCTTAAATAGGGTATGGTTTTGGTACTCTATTCTTGAATTGGGTATGTTGTTGAAGAACCCATAAACTGCAAGGGACCGCATACGATAAACGCTGAAGAAGCTACTTTTTCATCGTTCTTGATAAGACCATAAACAAAAGCTTTAAAGCCCTTGAAAAATTATGTTTAGGGCAACTGTGTCAGCCGCAACGGTCATAAACAGGGTATCAAATTTTTGGTCGGGTCATAAATAGGGTAGGGAAAATCGTAGATTTTGGTCATAAATATGGTAAGGGTTTTGGGAAGCGGGCCGCACACTTAGATGGAATGGGCAAATACTCAATCGAAGAACTTTATCCATTATTCAGTGTGAAGCAGCCCTACATAATTAACTAGAAGTTACTTGCAGGCGCTAGGCTGGCGTGGAAGCAAATGTCGAACTTCATGCAGACTTAATAAATTTTAAAAATTGATGGCTGTCCGCACTGTTGATGATTTGCTTTGTTATAAGAAATGATGACAAATACATAAAAATGGATGGACATATTCATAAGTAAATAATCTAACTAATAAATAATAAAATGACTTGTCAGATAAGGAAAGTGGCAGGGGTGTTTTACTGGTAGCCTGCACGTAGCTTAACTGACGGCTTCAACCAAGCTTGAAGTAAACTGTTCTCATTTCTAAGTGGCCTTCGCAGGACGCAGAGACAAAATATTTTCGACTGTTTCGTAATTGTCACCTTGCTATATAGGTGTTATTACATTAGAACATACAGAGTAGTACAAAAGGATGGAAAAGAGCCAGGTATCGCACTTAAATGAGCCAATCACTTTGGCCGAGCAAAGCTGTGTACATTGTCACGTGTAACACAAGACAAAACGTTATGTAAGCTACAAGTATGAACAAAGCACGTTGGACGATTTTGAGCGTGAGCTGGGTGTTCATTTTAACTTTTGCAGAGCAGGGGGGCAAGGGGTGCCTGGAATGGTTAACTTGGTAATTAACATGCCTTACAAAGAGAAACTAAAATTGTAAAAATAGTTCGAGATGGCGTGGGTTCGAGAAAGCTGAAAGTAAATGACTGAAAAGGAATATCCAAGGGAAAATGAGTTGAGTTCGAGATGTCGGGGAATTTGAGATAGCGGCTGAGTTCAAAAGGGATTTGTGTGTCGAAAATTTAATTTGCTTTTTTATACTTTTACAAGTAAACCGCACGGTACAACTCCATGATTTAGAATAAAGTTATGTTTATTTGTAACGTCACACGACCATGAACAATCACGCAGCAAGCTTCTGTTAAAAGGAATAATATGTTATTGACCATGCATGTAAGGGCAGGAAGAGAACACCTGAGGACGAAGTTCAAGATTAAAGTGCAATGATCAAGAAAAACCTAAATTGTAGCTTTCCAGCCATGTTCAAGATTGCGTCATAATTAACAACTATTGGGCAAAATTGAGCAAAATAACGTGATTTGTCAGTGGTAAGTAGATCAATTATTTGTCAAAGCCGAAGGCTGACGTAAAGAATTGATCTGATCGCCACCTGCTTAAAAACCGCCAAGCTACGCAGGCTAGCGGTAAACGAGTTCAGTAATGTAATAGTGTCGTTACAATTACGCATGAGCAGAATATTATCTGCAGCAAACACATTCAGACGGTACTACCGTTATTTATAGGCAGTTATTTGCAGGTCACGTGGTGAGACCAACTTTGCCAATGAAGTTCGAAATAAACGGGTTTGATCCGGGGGGTTGATTTTAGGCCAAAATGAAACAGAAATCGGTTCAAAATAGTGGGGAGTTCGAAATGACTGAGTTTGTAATAGCCAATAGTATTAAAGTGGCTGCAGTAATCAAAGATTATGAGAGTGTGTTCGACGCCTTCGCTTTTTTTGTTTGAATGATACGTTGCGTGAGAGCGCCTCCCACCTGATACCTATAACCTACCGTAAACTTCCAAAAGTAACGATCCCCCGAAAGTAATGTCAAAAAATTGTGACCGCAACTAAATCCCACAGGTAGCGACCCTCCGAAAATAGCGAGCCGACCCCAACCTCCACGAAAATAGTATCTATATTTTTTCAATCAATATTCAAGTGAAACTTAGGTACCGTAACTTGATTGAAGGCAATCTACAACGAGGGAAGATATCGTTTATGCCACGAAGCGTTGTGAAATGTCAATTCGTGCTTTACCAGTTAATGTTGCGCAGCGTTAAAACAAAACCCGTAGAATTTTCTTCAAGTAACAGGAACGTCAGGGTACTGTAGGAAACCTTGATTCAAATATCATTTTTAACTGAAGCATATTAGAAGGAACGTTTCATTACATTTAAATTGAAAACTCGACCAATGCACTTAGATAGCAGTGCGTCATGAAGAAGAAACGGTTTACCGTATCTGACAGCGGCTTCCCTGCCGACCACTGACAATACAATCTTGGCATCAAGAGCCCACCCATACAGCAGTAAAAATGAGCTCATTTGTACCAACTTAATATAACGTTTTTTGCTCCCCGGAAGTAACGAGCTGCTAATTCCGAAAATAACGAGGGTCGCTTCTTTCCAAAGTTTACGGTATATGGACATGTGCCGCTGTGAGGGGTATGGTTTTAGGCAGTTAAGTCTGGGATAGGGTGTAGAAATCAGACAGTTTTGGTCTAAAATATGGTATAATTTACCGGGAAAGTGGAACAAGGTTCTTTACTCGGGATTCTTGTGACTTTGTAAGATATTGGTTTAGTGAGCAAATGTAGGACTACAAAAGTGATAAAGTTTCTACAGTCTAGGATAGGGTAGGGGTTTTGGTGCCTAGTCTCCTAGTATAGCCGGAATAGGATTGCAAAATCAAGCAATTACACTCAGTTTATATCAGGCGGCAAAGTAGCTTCAATGTGTTATAGATATGAATGCAAACGTGAACTCACTTCACTGGTTTCTCTAAGCATTTCAGGATCTTTTCTTTTCGGGTATGCCGCTGGAACTCTGAAACCCGTTTAGTGTGGAACGTAAATCGAGGTCATGGCCGTAATCGTATACTAGACCATGTCTTCTAGACCGTAAAGAAAGCTGCAACATGTCAAGTCACAGAGTTGTCACATCCAAAGCAACACCCATTCTATAAAACACTGCTCTGAAAGTAGAACTTCCATGAATTGCCCGGAGAAGCGACGGAGTTTCGTGCAATGGTTGTAGGGTTACACGTCTTCCTCCTCCTCCTCTTTCTCCTCTTTTTTCTCTTCTCCTCCTGTACTCTTCCTCCCTTTTTCAACAGCACTAGTTCCGTATACTCGCAAGTTAGAACTAAACTAGAAGTTATAAAAGATTACGAGAGGCGTTCGACGCCTTCTCTTTAACACTGTAATGATTTCATATTTCTCCAACGTGGTGTGGCCGGCTTCACAAGTTTTAAGGTATAACTATGCCCTTCAAACGTCATGCTTAACATTTTCAGATTCCCTGGCCGTGAGGTGCACTTTTTTACATACAGTATTCTAAGCTGGAAGCAAGAATATTTAACAACTATTGGACGAGATTGAGCAAAATATCGTTATTCTTGTCAGTGGGGACAATTATTTGCCAAAGCCGAAAGCCGAGTTATATAGTTAATCTGCGAGACATTAGGACCGCGTTAGGACTGCATTACGACTGCGTTTCCCTTCAAGTCGAGCGAAACAAAAAAGAAAAAAACGAGGGCAAATCCAATGAAATGGGTTTGAGTTCGAAATAACAGGGGAATTCGAAATAACACATTTTACATAAACACATTTTACTTGAGCGCATGCGTACTGAAAGTAAAATTCGGTCTTTCCCTTTCCTTTTTGCGCAGCAATTTTATTCCCGCTACTCTCTACTTTAAACGTCCTCTCTCTCAGTTGGAAAATTCCCGCTATTTGTCGTCCGCTGCTTGAAGGAGAAGAGGAGATGAAAGAGGAGGAAGAGGAGTATGAGGTTGGAAGAGGAAGAATAAAAGGAAGGAAAAGAGGAGGAGGAGGAGGTGTAACCCTTAGATGAAAATGCGGGATCGAAGCCTATCTATGACGCATTGAAGTAAGCAAGGTGTCTCAGTTTGCGCTACTTTGAGGCCTAATTAAAATGAGTGTAATAGCGTTTAGTCGGAGAAAAGAGGGATCCAGAAATGCCTGGAGGACGTATACATTCCAAACCAACTAAGGATCTGACAGATAGCTTCACATATATACACGTCATGCAGTGTCTGCGAATTAACGAGCCGTGTTACATACGTTGGCTACAGCTCAGTGCATCACTCGACATGTAATTTGTTCTCTCTCGGCATGAATTCAACTCCATTGTCAACTGCAAAATTAACATTTTCGTGAGTTAACCCTCTCCAGCAACACGTCTGCTCCGAAAAATGCTAGGTAATGAGGAGTTTGAAAAGCAATTTAATGATTTTCCCTCTAAATTGTGAATCAATGGCGTAAAAAGGTGATATCTATTTTCATAAGATAACGCAGAAATTAGAAATGCAAAAAATCTGACGACGAATTAACATATTTTGTTAAAGTTTTTGTTTCGCGCCGTTGGAGATCAAAAGTGTGACGTAGCTAAGCGGATGGAAATGCTGTATTTTGTTTTTGTAATCATTTGTTAACGTCGCCAGACCGTTTCGCAGAAATATTTTGATTAATGAAGAGAACGCGAGGCTTTGTTAATCATTAACTTTTGATCAAGGTCTAAGTTCTCGAGAAAACTTAAAGGTTTACAACCACGCACTCGAAATGGACGCAATCCAAGTTGTACTGCTTTGGCTGAGCGCGTGTGTAATTCTACTTGGTGTTTGTGGCAATCTGCTTGTACTTCTTGGCGCCTACAAAGAGAGGTCACTCAGAAAAGTGCCTTACATGTTCGTTTTGAATTTGTGCGTTTGTCATCTTATCGCGTTACTTGTACCATACATGGTGTTTGTGATGGCTTTAAGCAAAGGAGAGTTTAAACATAGTTTCGTAGTTTGCAAATGCCAGGCTTACATGGCGTATACGCTAACCATGGAGATCATGGTAACAATGGTCCTTATCAGCATCAATCGCTATATTAGGGTTGTACAACCCGTGAAATATCCATTTATTTTTACTGAGAGAAGCACTGTGTTCCTAATTATAACCTCCTGGTTGGTCTCCGCACTGGGAAACATCTTCCCATTAATCGGGTATGGGAGATACGGGTTAAACAACTCCGTGGACTACATGTGTGCGTTACGAGTATCTGAAAGCGTTATTCAGATAACTGTCGGTGGAGCATGTATTATCATTGCGGTTATCATTATAATAACGTGCTACGTTCGAGTTTTCTGCACTATTAAAGCTCTTAACCGGAGAGTTCGCTCATTAAACCGAAGAACACTAAACGATGACCGAAGCAGATTCGGCGTCGTTCCTCGGGAATCGAGAGGTGAGGAAATTCAGATTGCTATAACTTTATTTCTTCTGGTTGTCATTTTTGGGATCTGCTGGAGTCCAACTGTAGTTTCAGTTGTTATCAACGCCATAACTGGACAGCCAACCTCGCACCTTGCGGGCGTGATTCGTGTGAACGCGCTTGCTTTAGAGACGGTGGCGGATCCAGTTGTCTACGCCATAAGGAATAAAATGTTCCGACAAGTATTAAGGAAGACATTGACATGTAAGAAACACTCGTGAAATTAACTTTGAGACTCAAGCATCCAAAAGTCACCTGTTTGACATTCGTTTTCTGTTAGATTGTTAGGCTGGTACAACTCAGATCATAGTTCAGATGTGTTTAACAAGTTATGCAGTAGGTGAGAGCGTCCGCCTTGCGATCAAACTCCCGCGAACGAGCACAACGAATTTGTCGAACTGGCCAAAAGGTCGCTTAAATACCAGAGGTAGCTACATACTAAACGCCGGGAACACAGATTCACCATGATCAAAATGCAAGGGTAGAGTGGTCTCGACCGCGTTCAAGAGATACGCTATTGTCGCTTAAGTCATGATTTTACCAGGAGAAATCTACGACTTTACAAGTGCAGTCAATTAAAAGAGAATAATCAGAGTACAATCCTATTTAAAATCAGTTGTTACTCATCTCAATTGTGAACAAATTAAACATTTTATTTTCCCTGGGCTCGATATTCGCCAGCTTGCTCGAGTTCAGTCCACGTTCCTCCCCAAGAAGAAAGGGAGGTGCGCTGGGTGCTTTAAGAACAGCGGCTGATAATCGAGCCTTTATTTTCCCTCGCTTACATGTTTATTGTGATAAATGTACAAAAAAAAAATTGCAAATGAAAATAAAAATGTTCTTAATTAACGAGTGATGCATGTTAGTAATAAGGCTCATCTTCAATGGTTTTGAATGATTTGCTAAACACATTTATGCTACTGAACAGTGAAACCTGTATAAAGCGGACACCCTTGGGACCCTTACTAGTGTCCGCCTAATGCAGGGTGTCCGCTCTAAACAGGTTCAAATAAATTTAACAAATAAAGAAGCCTAAGCCGTGTATTACACTGTGATAAAACACGACGGGCATTTGAGAACACCGGGAAAATGTAGAAAACACGAGCCGCAGGCGAGTGTTTTCTACATTCCTCCCGTGTTCTCAAATGTCCGAAGTGTTTTATCATAGTGCAACACACCGCTCATTTGCTCTATGATATAGAGGCAATGTCGCGAAAAACAATAAAACATGCTTTTTCTACGTTTTATACTCTGATAAAACATGGGGTTTTGATTAATGGTCCTATCTATATTATAATGTGCAATAACAGTTAATTATTAACCCCTTTGCAACACAGTGTAAGATCAAAGACAGTTATTAGCACAATGATGTCCAGTCAGTCAATGCATCAATCTGGAGTAATCTACTTAGCTTTAAAATAACATCGCTGAACAACGTTAAAGGAGTCTGAGCTGAGCTTTTAGAAGTAAAAAGCCCTTAAAGTTTCCACTCATTGCACGTTTTGTGCAACAGAATGGCTTGCTATCGGTGTCCGCGTCCACTTAACGAGTGTCCGCTGAATGCAGGTTTACTTTACAGTAAATGTTGGAAGAAAATTTTGGGACTCATGCTGGTGTCCGCTTAATAAAGGGTGTTCCCTTAATATGGGGTCCACGTAATACTGGTTTCACTGTAAGCCATTTCCGGGTTACCTTGTGCCTCTGTTTTAATAAGAGTCCTCATGCAGAATCTTTCATGAGAACTGAGATTCATTTAATTGAAAATGAACGTGCAAGTGAATTTTCATGCGAGTGATTTTGCATGGACTCGTTTTACCACATAGACAAAAGGCATGGCTGTTTGCGGCAATCTGCTTGTACTGTTTAGGAGAATTCGAGAAGGCTGTAGAAACACTCGACTGCCGGTTTGTGTTCCCACAGCATTTCTCATTCTCCCAGACTTCGACTCGTGTTTCTATCACTCGATGGAAACACAGTACGGATGCACGTATTTACATGCACGTGCGTTATTTATCTATTCGGTTTGTTCAAAAAACGAGCAACGACGCGAAACTATGCTTGCATCAAAATCAACTTATTATATCAACACCATCAAAACACACTATGGTAAATTTAACATTCGGTTTCCAGCTGTAAAAATTTGGAATGATTTGGATGAAAGTATTAAACACCTCGCCCTTAAAAGTTTCAAAAACAAAGTTAAGTTTAACATCTTACAATCGTTTTGCCAACATTCATGAGTTTTCATCTGGCACTTACCAGTGACTTATTTAATAAAAATGTACTTTATTTCTAGCTTTTTAGTGACTTCCTGATTTATACCGCTTACGTATTTATTGCTCTCTCTCCCCCCTTACTGTCTCCTCACTGCTTCCCCCTTTTAAGCTTTATTGCTAACCAACATTTTTTTTTTTTTATAACTACTATTTACTTTCACTCAGTTTGATTACCTTCTAAGCTATTCTGTTTTGTAACTAAGAGTTTTTCTATTTTGGTAATAAAGCGTGTGTTGTTGTAAAATCACTAGTCTAAGCGAGACAGATGAAATCAAGACACCTGAGAGCTTCTACATTTTATTTCTCCACTTGGTAAACTTCATTTAGAAGATTATACAACGTTCATTACTAACACTAGTGAGTTGTTGCGCGACGAACGAGAGATTGCAAAAGAAAGTTACAGATTATAATACATGCACTTTTGCTTCAATTTTCCCCGAACTTACATAAAAAAAAACCCACTCTCAATAACTTACTACACCTGCAAGGGAGAGATTTCTATCTTTGCCCTCAGGGACAGACCAGAAACGCAGCGCGTGACGGCAGAGCACACTCTGCTGCAGGATGCAACTTATAGCATGTAAGTTGCGACATCGACGATGGCAGTTGAGCAATTATTGAGATGAAGCCGCTAGTATGAGGAGTAAAGTGGGGCAAGGGGAAGCTATTGTCTCTACATACCTCACCACCCCTCGTTCTTTGCTATCTTCCAACAAACCCACCAGCTACATGTCATTCGGGTAACAGGATGCATCAAATCAATTGGATTAACTAACGATTTAGTGTTCATTCTTTGGAAACGTCCATATTTTCCATTTTGGCTTCTAAACAACCTTCACTCTGGGCGCCAGCTTTGTTCTTCGACTTCTTCTTCTGTTTCTTCACCTCTGGTTTCTCGTCAATTGGAGCAGGTTTAACGAATTTAATAAAACCCAAACCCTCGGGAAGCAGTGGCTTTAGGACAGGAGGAAGAGCAATTCCTTCCTCTGTTTGGTAATTCTCCAACAGCGCACAAATGGTTCTCGATACAGCGCACATTGTGGCGTTCAACATGTGAACATATTCGGTCTGAAAGATACATTTAAACATAATAAATACACCGGCATTTTGCAGACTTTCAGAAACAGAGTAATGAGTACGAGGAATTAAGACTTTTGCTTTTTTCTGTTTTTCCGTGACGACATAGCCTGCGAACGCAGACGTATTTCCGGCTGTCGCTTGTCTCCGCTGAAAAATAACGTCTGCGAACCCGAGCCAGGAAACGATTTCTCTGACGTAAGAATTTTAAGCCAATCACAGCTTAGCTCAAGTAGCCTCAGAACTACTGCGCGAGGTATTCGCTGCGAGGAGCACTCGAGTTTCATTCTATCATAGGATCTGATTGGCCAAGGAGAAACAAAAGTCATTACATCACAGAAATCGTTTCCTGGCTCGGGTTCGCAGACGTTATTTTCGGCGGAGACAAGCGACAGCCGGAAATACGTCTGCGTTCGCAGGCTAGTGAAGACAGTAATCATCCCAGATACAGACAAAAWTTCYCCAAAAGAACACACTGGGGAGCAGTCTAAGATTACACGTGAGGGTGTTCAGTCATATAGGAGCTGGACCACAACAGAGTCCCTGAACAACACCCTTTGTGGAACTGACTCACAACGTGCGTGTTGTTTACCTTTCCTAGAGAAGGAGAGTCGTTCTCATGCAGTTAACCGAACATGAGAAGGAAGAGGAAAGAAGACAAAACAGACGAAAGTCTTAACAAACTATAGACGTTAGGGAGGTTGCATGTGTTGCTAAGATTGAAATCCCAGCTCTATGGTGGACGTCAGATATTTTCTGTACAACAGGAAGTGTGGTACGACACTACTGAGACAGCTTTTAAAGTACTTGAGAATACTCGTGAATACTTTTACTATGTTGTGATAAAGTGACGACGATAACAAATTAATTAGAAAAAAAAAATTAATTGCACAGTATTGTGTGGTAGTTTTGCCTATAAGCGGCAAATGGTGATGCGGCCAGGAGTCTTCAACAAAAGCTAGAGGTTGGTATACCTGAGCCCCCATTTTCTTGGTCTGTCCAAAACGAACTTGCAATCTTCTTGCTTGGTAATCTGTGCAGTTTGAACAGGAAACTAGTTCACGGAAAGCTCCACTTCCTGGAAACCAAGCCTCCAGATCATACTTCATGGCCGCTGCATTGTTCAGCTCACCTGCAGGCAGGTAACGAGGACATAATTATATTGTAAACATGAACCTTGCACTGTGGGACACTACAGCTTCACCTCACAGAAGGCAAGGAAGCGACTAGGAGTATTTCTACACCCCCTTGGGGTTACCCCGGCATTATATTCGCTGGTATCCATTTAAACACCTGGGTGGAGAGAGGCACTACAAGAGTAAAGAAAGTACTGTACAAAGGTAACCTTGTTATTTCTTATGATCCAGTTACTGAGCAATTCCGTTGGCTTCTTGTCAGTTGCCCGGTGAGTCAGACGGTTAGCGTGCTCACATACTTCCTGTCCCATCCACCCACACCCCATCCCCCCACCTCAACCAGCCAGTAGCAACTCCTTAGAGACACTCTTCAAAAACTGCCTGCTTAACTTGCACAGCAAATAAACGTTTCTTTAACATTGCTTACCAGAAACTATATTGACTATTCTGTACGGAATTCCCAAGGCCTGATTAAATTCCTCAGCATTGCCAATCATCTCATGGAAAATCCGCCAGGAAATGCCATCATGAGGGGAACAGATAACAAACTGTTCTACCTAACAAGCAAGAGGAAGTTATACTCTCGCAAACTGCACCGTTTTCCATTATTTGTAACTTTCATCACACGAACAAAAAACAAGCAAACAAACAGAAGCAATTTCCACATCAATACATGTACGTACTTGTAACTGTTTACTGTATCAGAAGGGAACGAATCGAAACGAGAGATTTCTGAGAGATAAATAACAGAGGAATAGAACTATTTTCCAAAGTCTGTATTTTAAGAAATGAGCTCTTCGAAAGCCAAAATTTATTTTTTTTCCTTGCATTCACCAACGCTGAACGAGCCCAAACGTCGTCCGTGTAGGAGCTTGGAACTTAGGATCTTCCATTTTACCGACTAATGACTCAACATGCCATCGATATACATAGTTACAATACCGGATACAGCAGCACAAAATTTACAGAAACCACGTATAAGGACAAATGTAGGAAAACAGACGATTCCTTTTCAGGCAATAGATCTTTGGAAAGAACTTCTAACCCATTTTAAAGAACTAAGCGTATTTGCCTTTTCAAAAAAAAAGAAAAAAATTCATTTACTGTCAGCCAATACCCGAACTAATTAATTTTTGTTTTTTTGTTCTCCTTTAAACCAAACTGTAACCTGCAAATTCTTCCTTCATCTCTCCTCTCCTACAATTAGAAATAACAAGGCTGGTGACTAAGTCGAAAACCTAATGGTTCATTTAGCCTCCAGTCTCATTCAGACAGGATTATAACGGTTACCTCACTAGTAAGACATGCTACCTATGTTAAATGAACTAAAAATGTTGTAGTATTCATAATTATAATGAGAAAATAAAGATGTGGTATGTACTCAATTCGTTTTGCAAAATACAGTAAGCGGTGTGGCTCCATCTACACGTACACTGTGGAAACTAATGTTGTCTGGAGGTCAGTTCCCAAGTTACAACAGCGAGTCCATAGTGTCACAACCCACATGGGATACAGACAAAAACGGTTCTTTTTTCTCTGGGAATTCAACCCGATATGCTTAATACATCAAGTTGACAAGACCCAAGAAATTTTGATAGTGCAGAAATTCGAGAAATTCCGATTTTGAAAGTACAGACATACTGTCCTTGCAACGTTCTTTAACATTTTAGTATCAACCCTTTCATCTTTCTAGCAAAGGCAAGTAACCTACAGTATGTGCAGTGGGTCTAACATTTGAGTCTTTGGATTAAATCCTGTAGTGTGACCGTTCAGTTAAGAGAATCTGAGCAGTACCTTTTTAGTGCCTTCTAGTAAAATTCAGTCTACTTTGGCATATTACTCGAGGTAAAATAACCAGTTTTAAGAGCTGGCTTCTTTCTCATCACAGGGACTCTTAATTGCACAGACCTTTTCAAACTGATGTACCCTGAAGATACCACGTGTGTCCCTTCCATGAGCGCCTGCTTCCTGCCTGAAACATGATGAGAAGCCAGAATATTTCTTGGGAAGTTCGTTAGCAGCCATCCATTCCCCGCGATGAAATGCTGCAATCGGTTGTTCACTAGTTGCAATCAGGTATCTTTCTTCATAGCCTGCCTCATCAGAACCTTTTCCAATAACCTGAAACCATTCAAATCAAAAGGAACAATTCTTATCAGTGTCAAGATGTACTGAGACGTTTGTAACAGGAGGACACAACACTATTGCCGTCTTGGAATACCAGCCCAAGACTGAGAAAAACTGAGAAACTGTAGCACACTCGAAATTTCAGCATGCAAATCGCAAAGATTTAAAAAGGAATGATTTATTGGGTAGTCAGTTAAGAGTTCAAAGTTCACTACACAAAAGACAGGATAATGTGATAATTTTTTTTGTTATACAGATTTTGTTATCAGTGCACCAAGTGGAAATAGCATTGACCTTGTTTTATAAATTGGAATAATGACCATGGGAAATGGTAAGGTAAAACTTTGGATTAATATCCCATCTTATTATTATTTTGTACTTTTAAAGGAGAAAGTCACTGCAAAAAGCTTACCTTTTTTGTCTTCACCTATAGCAAGTAAAAATTCCACTTGTCCACTCACCGAAGTTTAAGCCTCTGAGGTGCCCGATATCCTGACGAAATTCGTCTCGAAAGAAGCGACTTCGGAGGCCGCCATATTGAAACTGTCTTGGCAGCCAAGCCGTGTTTATGTGACGTCATTCCGTCCGACTCGAAATTGGTGGGAAGAAGAAAACCTTGAACTGACTTGGCAACCCTCACAAGGTCAGCAAAGTCTATTTTTTTTCCAGCGATTATCCACTTCACTATCTACAATGCTATCGTCTCGGAGTTTGAAGCATGTTTGGGCTCAAAATAATATGGCTTGAGAGTAGCCATAACCCAGAGTGGCAGTTAAAACGCTTGTCGGAGGCTATTTGGACAAGCTATTTGGACGGACGTCACAAAAACGCAGCCTGGCTGCTGAGTACTATTCAAAATGACGGCAACAACGTTCGAATTTTGAGCTTCTTTGGAGGTGAATTTCACAAGGAAAGCCTGCGCTTTAGAGGCTGAAACTTCGGTGAGTGGCTCACCTCAGTGCAAGGTTTTTGTTAGCGTTGACAAAAGATATACGTTTTTTGGAGTGACTTTCTCCTTTGAAAGCTGCAATGTCATGTACAGTACATTGATTATGTCTCTTGTTGGTCACGCGAGGAGCTGAAATTATGTATTGATATTATAACAAAGAAATTATCACTTTTGGGGCATAACATGCCACTAGCACTAAATAATGCTTTTGATTATTGTCTGCCGATCAAAGAGCCAAGTTAGAGTGTATCAATTCTGTTAAGTGCCACAACCTGTTTTGCCCCTCTGACTAACTTGGTTTTCATTAGCCTAGTTACTAGGTGTATGAACATTTTTACATACCTTGTACAGCTCTTCATCAAATTGACTTAGTTGAGCCACTTCTTGCATAGCTTCCTTCCTCATGAAGAATGGTGTATATAGTGGAACAAACCCCTTCTTAAATAACATACGCGTTGCCAACTGAATGAGGGCCTGCTCCAGGAAAACAAGTGGCCCCTACGACAGAAAAGAACAGACTTTCATTTTTCTGCAAACCACTGTTACAAGTCAGTCAATAAGTCAACAAAGTGTAAGTCTGTGTTCTCCATAGGCAATGGCAACAAAAGTTTCTGTATACTATTTCTGAGCATGCTGGCTACTCTTGAGATAACTATGATTCCTTAAGAAAAAAATTGTAAATGTGGGACATTTTTAAAGTTTCATAAGTCACTTACATCTTGCTATTACCTCTCCATTTTTCCTTAAATTTTCCTTCAATCGAAATTGTAGAAACAAAGTCAAAATCGTGAACAAGCACTCTCGGGTCATTAAGGTCAGCAGTTTATATCTCATGCCAGACTTTATGATCAACTTCTCCTTAAGCTGCTCAATTTGTATGATGTTTTTGGCATTAAGTAAATGCTTCATATGCATCTGATAAAAATCCAAGTAACAAGTTTGGTTTTTCTTGCTTAGGAGAATCTGAAAATGCTTAAGTGTCACCTCTCTGCTGAAAACATTTACCCCTCTCTCCCTCTTCTTCTCCCACCTGAACTTTACTGATTAGTGAATGACCGACCACTTGCAAATCATTTGCATAATCTTATCACCCACTACAACTTGTAACTTGCTATGACAATCACGAGTTAAAAATCAATGCTCATGGCCACTAACAAAATCACAGTTCACAACAAAACGCTAGCCGTTCACATTCACAGGGGAAAAAAGGCCATTCATGAATCACGAAAATACCCTTTTCCACCCTCAACCCTGGTAAGCCATTTTGGTATTCCCTTCTATTCACATTACAAGCTTACTCCATCTGTCAGCAGATATCAAGTCCTTACATTTTTCAAGATAAGATCCAAAACCTAAAACTTATAAATGCTTATGCCAGTACAGTACATGGTTTTTGTAGGGATGTTTTACACACAGGTATTAAAGAGTCATCTAATTGGGTTTACTTCAGTCTTCTCGTCTGTTATTTCATGTTATTGGGTTAACCTCTTGTTCTCCTTTACTTCATTTTCTTGAGTAGACAGGCTGACTGACAGGGTTAGAATGATAATCAGCAGATGAAGTCAAAGCACTGCACTGAAAATGTGAATGAAATGTGGATTTTTGTTTCCTCTGATTACTCTGGCCTTCACTTTTTAAACTACTTCAATGCATAACTCCCAAACCTACACCAAACACATGTCAGGTTTGCAATATGTGACTTTGGATAGTAAAATCCCTAAGCTTCTATTTTAAGTTAAAATGTTCATTTGTTCCATAATACTGATATGCAAGTTTCTCCATTACAGTTTGTCATGACTGTATCTAACCTTGAGAAAATAACCTCTACTGCCAGCTACTGAAGCACCTCTCTCTGTATCAACTCCATCCACCATGTATGCCAGATCAACATGAGAGTACTTCTTTCTTATTGTACTGTCACCCCAAGTTCTCTCCACTCTGTTATCATCCTGTCACAACAACAACAGTCATTTCATTTTAAATAACTGCTGTTCCACATTAATATTGCATAGTTCCAGAAAATATCCATACCTGGAGGGAATTTCATCTAAGCTCCCCTCCTCCCCAGATTTCCATTTTTCGAACACAAAAATAACCCCCTACCCCTCCATAATTTGCACAAGTATTATGTACACCTCTCATACCCTCTAGAAAAAATAGTTCTGGCAAGAAAGTGTGTTTAAAGGTAACATATACACTCCAAACACTTGGCTGTCTGCATTGCACGTCACTGCCGTTTATTCTCAATCTATTTTAATATCTGAAGATATACACAAAGAAAACATACCGCAATTTATTTAAACATGCTTTAAAAAAATAGACAGAATGGTAACTTGTCAAATTACCTTCCTACATGACTAAGTCCCTTTGTAAATGTCGAACAACTTCGGTTGAAGGACTGATAAAATGAATGTGGATGAAATGGACACCACACTTTTATCGTGAACATGATCGCTAACAAACTCACTACGAAAGCCAATTTTGCAGCAAAATTACGTACAAATGGACAGAGATAAACTTGAATAAGTAATTCTCAAGTTTGTGACATTGCAACATCATTTCTACCTTTATAAAGTAACTAATTTTCATAAAACAAATTGACGGCCACTCAACAGCTTTGAAGACCAATGCTAAAACAAACTAAGCTAGTCACCAGTGCTTTTCGGTCCACAAGGTGACTTCATGTAAACTGGTAACAAGTGATAGCAGCCATTTCCATGCAACAGCACCTTCTTCACACTTGTTAGCTTCCAAAGTGCTTTTTGAAGAAAGAACATTTATTTCAAATATAATGCGATTCAAATACAAGTATTCAAGTTACTATTTTTCCATGTGAAAGATCTACGGTACTTAGTAGGTAAGAAAGTATTTTTGAACAGCTAGATAGACCCTTGAATCTGTATTGAATGGAAGTCGAAGGACATCTGGAAACTAAATTGACTGTCCAATCCCCCTCCCCTCTGGAATTTCCTGGCTCTTTGACTCCCCACCCAGCCCCTCCAGAAATTCCAATTTCCTCTGTGGTAGGGGTATGGATATTTCCTGGAATCACACATTGACCCTTATAGGTTCTTCAATTTGTAAAGTGACAACCTGGCATTTTCAACCAAATGATTATTTTGGGTTGCCAGTACCCTTTTTGTTCGAAAATGTTCTTCGTATGTAATCTAATCAGTAATTTTAAGGTTAAAGAGAGCAGCGCTGTCATTAAGTTTTGAGTCATGTGTAGCCTTGATTTTCAAAACCGTAACAAAGTTGTTACCTTTTGAGTGTATTGTATCAACTATAAGTCCAGTTCACCCGTAACATCAAGAGCCCAGCAAACATACTCAACCGGAGTGAGTTGAGTGAAGTTTAAATACAGCAAATAATTATATCAATTGTACAGCTTGTTACAATTTACAAATCTGTCTGTTCTCTGCCATTAAAACATGAGCATTTTGTATTTTGAATCAAAAAATAACAAATAAAGGTCTAAATTTTAGACAAGTTGAACAACAGATGAGACATTAATCTTAAGTAGCTTTTTAATCAGAATAGCAACCTTGTTTCACCACAAAGACCACCAAACCAATTACTTTGCTGCCATCCATGTAAAACAATCTAATCAAACCCAAAGTACTTTACTACAAGTAATTCATCAAGAGCTATATTCTGGCAAAGTTTGAGGTTTTTTGAT